TTTTTTTTTCAAGCTGTTACATTTAATAATGTCGAGAGATTAATTTTTAAATAACAATTATATTGCTTTCTGCGATTTTTTCTTTCTTTTAATATGTCTTTTTTACTGATGGACCATCAATTACGCTATCAAAAAACAACAAAAAAAACATCTAAACAAAGCAAAAGACAGATGCAGTGAAGTTAGAAATTGGCAGTGGAGTCAAGAATAATGTAAAAAATTGCTATAAAAAATCTTTGTACTGTTCTATAAGAAATGCAAGTTTATCCTTGCATTTTTTAATATCAGACAGTTTTTTTTCAAAGATAGACAACGAACTTAACATAAACAATGACTTACTTAACTATAATGCTGCTTTAATTATGTATCGGTAAAAAGACAAAGAAAAAGTTAGCTCATAAATGAACCTCATTGCCTAATTTTTCAGCGAAGTAGAAAAGAAGTAACTTTTAATGTAGAAAAGTTAAAATATCAAATATCTTCTACGCTTTTTTCAATTTTGTTGATAAACGTTTCAAATTATGTGCCACAAGAAACTTATTTAAGCTGAGGGTCAAACTTTGACAATTTTGGGGACACTGAAAACTGATTATTAGGCAATTTATGCTTAAGCCGGTAAACGTGTTTGGATGACCAAAGATGATTTTGTTGTTCGCAAAATGATCATTTGAGGAATTTTTTAAAACTATTCCACAAACAGTTTGGTTGACAGTGCGAATAACCTTGAAGACTTAAACAACGTGAATGGTTTCTGTAGTTCAAAAATAGAGCAGATAAGCTTTTACCACAAGTTTGCTTTGAAACTTTTAGGCTTTTTATTCAAGTCTGATAAGCATTTATAGCACAAAAATTTTTAGTTTTAAAGTTAATAAATGCCGACAATTTACATGTTGATTGGTAAACATTGTCCAAATATTTCCTTGGAAGTTGATATGAACTTCCTCTTACACTGATTATATTAAGTTGTTTGCCTATACGTAGCTGTTCTAAAATTTTGTTTGCGATGATAGAGTAATTAACAGTTAAAAAGTGTACAATAAAAATATTTTATTTGAGCTTTATTTTCTAAAAAAAAAAACAATTTAAGGTGAATTTAGTTGCTCATTATACACCATACAATTTTTGACGACAGTTTGTTATAATTTCTGCTTTCTCTTTACTTATCTTTCGGTTTCAAACAATATTATAAAAATTTCATGCTTTCAGTACAGTTTTCACTACGGGCTTAATAAATTCAACTTTTTGTCTTCTTTCGACAATCGGTGTTACAACAACTTCCTTCTTTTTCGGCTCTTCAACAATCACTTTTGGTCGCCTGACAACCACTGGAGTTCTATAGACCTCTGCTCCTAAAATAAAATTTGTTGTCATTTTTTCACTTTTTTTTTTTTTTTTGCTTACAAGGTTAAGCGATTGTTCAATATTCAGTCTGACATGTAATTAATAGACAAAAGAAGTTGAAAATTGGCTTCTAATTGGTAAAATATTACTGGGCATTTCAAGCGGGTATCTAGCGCCATCTACAACTGGTCCATGTTTTGGAAGAATGTAAACTGGTGCAGCAACTTTTGTTTCTACGTTATATCTTGGTTCATGTCTTTCAATAATCTTCATTGTCATTGGATTATATCTTGCTGAAAAAATAGTGGATAAATTTTATAAATGTAGAAAATAAAGTTTTAGAAAAGGAAAAGTTATAGCAGAAGTGCTCTGAACTGGTTGGTAGAGGATGTTTCAGATGTAAAAACTACAAGATTCAAAAGTAATTGGTGAGTGAAACTAACGAAATTCCTCGTAGTGCTTCTCTATGAAATGTTGTTCTTCGACATCGCAATGAGCTAAAAAATAACCGTTTGTTTCAGTGCTTAAGCCTCGACTATTTCTTTTCTCATTTTTTTTCTTTTTGCTAACAACGAACAAAAGCAGGAAAGGAAAGAAGATTAAGACATTAATCACTGTAAAATAATCAACTTATACAAAAAGTCAAAAAAAGAAAAAATGAAATCAGAATTTAATTGAAGCTGTCGTGATTTATAACGGTTACCTGCAGCCACGGAAAACAGAAGGAAAAGTAACATTTTGAACTGTTTGGTTTGTAGAATTCAAACAACCGATGTGTTGTGTCGATAAAGTAGGTCGGTGTCTTTATATAATCGTACATGAATGTCCAAAAAAAA